TCCCAGCACTCAGGAGGCAGAGGCAGGTGGATCTCTGTGAGTTCAAGGCCAGCCTGGTCTACATAGCGAGTTCTAGGCCAGCTGGGGTTACAGGGAGACCTGGTCTCAAAAAGACCCCCCCCCCCAAAAATCTAAGATTATCTACAGTGCAAACATATGGCATTCTACATAACAGAAACATGGATGCTATGAGGGGGTCTGCATGCCAGGCACTCACAGAGTGGAGGGGAGCACATACTTCTTGTGTGAGTCTCCTGTCTGAGTCAGCCTCTGGGTGGGCCAGTCCTTGACTCACCTTGTTGGTCTCAAAAAGACCCCCCCCCCCAAAAATCTAAGATTATCTACAGTGCAAACATATGGCATTCTACATAACAGAAACATGGATGCTATGAGGGGGTCTGCATGCCAGGCACTCACAGAGTGGAGGGGAGCACATACTTCTTGTGTGAGTCTCCTGTCTGAGTCAGCCTCTGGGTGGGCCAGTCCTTGACTCACCTTGTGTTCTGGGAAAGGGCTTGAGGATGGTAGCTTCCTGTGAGGCTACGTGGGATCTGAATAGCCATATGTCTCAGTTCCCATCTGCGTCTTGATTCTTCACCCATAGGCCCATCAGGATCAAGCATAGCACAGAGCTTGTTCACAGAGACCTGTCCCACAGAAGGCTTCCTGGTTCAGGTGGCAGGCTACACAAGGTGGGCCCCCACCATACAGCTTATGGTTTGGATGGCCCCCACAGAGCAGCTGCCTGTGTAGGGGTGGAGGCTGGATGCCAAGAGACCTGGGTCTGGCTTGACTGAGCCTCAGTTTCCCAGGAGGTTTAGTGTACGCTGCTCAGTGCCTCTGCAAGGGTCTCCCTCCCTGCTGCCCTCCTGCTCCCTCCTCTCTCTTAACTTATGGAGAGTTCAGGAAAGTATCTCCCTGGTATTTGGGGTGATTATTAGGCTAGAGCTGCAGCCTCCCACTCACTTATCCCAGCTGAAGAATGAGGGTGGTAAGAACCAACCAATCTGGGCTCAGAGCTGTGTGTGTGTTGTCAAGTCTACCGGCTCATGAGGACTGACATGGCCAAGGGAGCTACGCTGACCCCATTGGGGATTCTGGCTAAGGCTTGCAGAGTGTTGAGTGGCTGTGAAGCCCCAGCATGAGGGGCTCAGGGTAAGGCTGGCACAGTTTCCCCAGACCATGGCTACCCGGTAAGGAGAACACAGGTCCAGGCCACCTCCAGGCACGTTCTCATTTGTATGACATTTACTGTGACATGGCATAAGTGCCCTGTGTTCAGATAAGGCAGGGCCTGGGAGGAACTGGAAAAGAAAGAGCCAGAAAGCAAACACAGCCTTCCCCTGGACACGGCTCCCTCCGCACACAGCGTACTCTGGCTTCCCAGCCTCACCCAGGGCTCCCGAGCCAAGTACAGATCCTAGCCCCTCAGGCACCTGCAGTTCAGTCCAGCTAAGTCCAGATGGCGTTTGTGGAGCCTCAGCTTAGAAGGACGAGGGGCCCAGGTGCTGGGGAAAGGCTGGGCCTGACCTGTCCACATGGGTGTCCTTCTGAGGTTGGGTGGGATGGGTGGGACTGGCCCTGGCCCTGGCCCTGGCCCCAAACTCCCTATATGCTGGGCAGTCAGGACCCTTTCAGACACAGGGAAGTGACTGTACAGGGTGTTAGGGGTTGGCAGAGGTCTGAAGAATGTAAGGGAGAGACATGCAAAGTGGACAAGTCTGACAGACACACGCTCAGGACCCTGGACTCCTGTGAACAGGACACTCAGTGAGGTCAATAGCAAACTACCCAGTGGAATATGGGGCTCAGTGGACCTTGGGAAGCAACCCCAAGTCAGCAGAACAGCATCTGCTTATGCTCAGCTCACTCTGGGCCCTGCGTGGTCACGTGTCAACTGCTGAACTCAGGTCAGACCTAGACCTCGGCTAGGTCCCTGAAGACCATCCCAAGGCCTAGACCTCAGCTAGGTCCCTGAAGTCCATCCTGAGACTTAGACCTCAGCTAGGTCCCTGTAGTCCATCTCGAGACCTCGTTTTGTGCCATGTGGCGCGTGTCTATCACCGTTCCCATGTGAGACCCAGGGACAGGTTCCAGCAGGGTGGTGGGCTGTGGATGATCCTCTCCCCTCCAGCTGTTGAGGATTCATAAGTCATACTTGCATTTAACATGATGCTCAAAAATACCTGTGCAGGGCATTTGAGCAGGAAGAGAAGGCCTTCCTCTAGGACCAGGCTGTAACTTGTCCACAGCAATTTAAGTTTTCTTGCTTAAAACCTGGCCTTGTAAAGGCAGGGTCATGGTGGCTAACCCTCTTTGAACCAGACCGATGTCCACAAAATATGTCTTTGGGGTGGTGGAGGAGTGTCTGGAGTACTCACGTGTTCCATTAGCTCGAAGAGAACTGTGTATTGGGCCAGCCAGGTTCTGGTGTCCTTGACTTTCCTGGAGCTGCATGGGCTGAGGTCCCTTAGACCCCAGAGAAACAGAGAGTGCCACTGTGTATGTCTGGAGGGGGCTCTGCCCACAGCCCCCTGTGACAGGTCTCTGATCTACTGCTGCCCTCTGTTGCTTTGGGGCATTAGTTTTCAAAAGCCTTTGAAAATAGCATATGGCTGGAGAGGTGGCTCAGTGGGTAAAAGTGCTCATTCCTATTGCAGAGGACCCAGGTTTGGTTTCTAGCACCAAACGGCAGCTCATTTCCATCTGCAGCTCAAGGGAATCCTATGCCCTCTTCTGGCCTCCCTGGGCACCAAGCACACACATGGTGTGCATACATACATACACATACATGTAGGCACTCACACATACACTAAGAATAAAATAAATCTCAAAGAAAAAAATACCATGAAAATGCACAATTAAAAATATTTTATTATTTTTATTTTATGTGTATGAGTGTATTGTCTGCATGTATGTGAGTGCACCTGTGTTGTGCAACGCCATGGAGGTCAGATGAGGGCTTTGGATTCCCCTGGAACTGGAGTTGAGGATGGTTCGTAGCTGCCATGTGGGTGCTGGGAATCGAACCCGGGTCCTCTGCCAGAGCAGTCAGTGCTCTTAACCCCTGAGCCATCTCTCCAGTCCCGAAATGCACAATTTTATATACAAAATATGCAGTCTTTGTGGTCGCCCGCTGCTGCTAACCTGTAGGTGCCAGTGCACCAGGACTTTGGTCTATGACCCTCTTTTACCAGTGGTTCCATGAGTCTTTTTTTTTTTTTTGAATCAGGGTTTTCCTGTAGCCCTGGTTGGCCTGGAACTTGCTATATAGGCCAGGCTGGCCTCGAACTGGCAGAGATGTGCCTGCCTCTGACTCCTGAGTGCTGGGATTAAAGGTGTGTGCCACCATGCCCAGCTCCATGAATTTTTAAAATCTCCTGGCTCCTTAAGACCCTCCTTCCGTGGCCCTTGAACTCCACCTCCTCCACACCATAGAAGGGCCCACATGGGAGCACTGTGGAGTCTGTAGGAGCCCACAGAGCCTGGGCTCCTAGGCGTGTGTCCTCATCATCACTAGCTCTCTCCCTTTGCTCCTAGGTGTGAGGTCACAGGTGAGGACTCCAGGGGCACCTCATCCTGTCAGTACCTGCCTAAGGGTTCTGAGGCTGCACTTGCCTTTGGCAGCAGTTTGTGGTGACTCTGGCATCACCCTGCCCTGCGGTTTCTTCTCCTCTCAGCTGCCTCGTCCCACAGCCTTTGCACGTTTTTCTCACCTTTTCTATCTTTTTTTTCCAAGTCACCCGTGGAAATTCTTCCTGTGCTCTACCACCTGTAGGGAATGGCTTGTTCCAGCACCGGCTGGAGAGACTCTCAGCAGTTAAGAGCACTGGCTGCTGTTGCAGAAGTCCCGGGTTCAAATCCCACACCCACGTTGTGGCTAACAATCATCCGTAACTTCAGTTCCAGAGGGTCCGAAACCCTCTTCTGTCCTCTGTGGGCACTGCACAACATGGGTGCACTTACATGCAGGCATAAAAATAAAATTTAAAAATTAAAAAAAAAAAAAACCCAACCAGCTGGGGCTGGCGAGATGGCTCATCGGTTAAAAGCACTGACTGCTCTTGCAGAGGACCCTGGTTCAACTCCCAACACCCACCTGATGGCTAACACCCATCTGTAACTCCAGTTCCAGGGGAATTCAGTGCCTTCTTCTGACCTCCGCAGGCATTGTATGACACAGGTGCACTTATACACATGCAGGCAATACACTCATACACATAAAATGAAAATAATAAAATATTAAAAAACCCAGCTCTGCATTGCGTCCTCCCTTGTTCTAGACCCACGGGCTGCTGTTGTGTTGTGACAGGTCAGCTACCCCTGGGGATAGATCATGAAGGGCTGCTCAGCCTCCTTCTGAGGTCAAGGAACCCACTCCCCACACCTCAGTAGACAGACCCTGGCCTCCTCCAGCCTCAGGGCCTGGAACGCACTCTCCACAGCCTCGGTTCCTTAGCCAGAGCGCATCTTCCCCACTGCTGGTTGTGTGTGCGTGTGTGTGCCTGCACGCGTGCTCACACACCCGTATTGCTTTCTTTCTCTGTCTGACCCATCTCGGCTCTGTGTATGAGGCAGGGGCTTACGCACATATGGCTGAGGAGGGGGCACCTCATCTTTGAATACCCATTTTGATATTCACATGGCAGGCCCCTCTTTTTCCAAAATGAATCTCAGGTTCACTGGCCTGCCCGGGGACTGGAGCTGAGGGCTCTCTGTGCCAGTGGCACATCAGCCAGCTGGGTGAACACAGTGTGAGCAGGAGGGGTCTGCTCCTTCTGCACGTACCATGGGGGTCTCCTGACACTGGAGGCGGCACCCCTCACTCTGACTCACTTCCAGGCCAGGAACAATCTGAAAGTCGGCTCCTTGGGACAGCAGCCTTGTCCCATCATCCTCTGGGGCTGTGACTCTTCTCCAGCAGCTTCCAACAATGATGACATTTTATTTGCTCCACTGCAGAACTGGCCATGGTGCGTGGTCAGGAAGCGACTGGCCAGTCCTCTGTGCCAAGTTCCCTGTGGACCCTGGGCTGAGCAGTATAAAGGGCAGCCGAGTGAGGCACCAGCACAGCCTCCCCAGCCTGCCAGTGACCTGTTGGACACCCGTGAGCACAGACCCTGGAGATGAAGGCCCTGCTCCTGACCTTTGGCCTTGGCCTCATTGCTGCCCTGCAGGCCCAGACCTTCCCCACCTTGGAGGAGGATCAGGATGTGAGGCTGAGATGGGCAGGGACTGCAAGGGGAGGGTTGTGGGAGCTGGGGGAGGAAGGTTCCATTCATCTCATTCGGGGTCAGCCTTCAGCCCCTACCTGGGGGAACGTCAGACATAGCCCAGGGCATCTGATCAGATGGCTCTGGGGTGCCGAGAGGCTGGAGGAGGTGGGGGCCCAGCACAATTAGCTGTCCCCTGGAGGTGTGGGTGTTTGCGGTTCTGTCACCATTACTGCAGGTGTGGAAGCTCACATCTGGGTGGTCTGGTAGGGGTGCTGGGTGATTTAGGGGTGCGGTGGGTGCCTGGGGAATGCTTCAGGTGTCCAGATCTTGGTGGCTCGGGTAGTCTGACTGTGGACTAGGAGAATGTCAGGATCCACTTGAGCTCTGATAGACGGGTGTCATCTCCAGGTGTCAGGCAGTCTGGCTGTGGACTAGGGGACAGGGAGATGAGAATGTCAGGATCCATCTGAGTCCTGATGGTGTCTTCTCCAGGTGTCAGGAACATGGTACTTGAAAGCTACAGCACCAGACAAGGAGATCCCCAAGAAGTTGGGATCTGTGTCTGTGAGTCCCATGACCATCAAGACCCTGGAGGGGGGCAGCCTGCAAGTCAAGTTCACAACCCTGTGAGTGTCTGTCCTCTGAGATGCTGGCTTGGACTCCTTCACCCACAGGAAAGCAGGAGGTTGAGTGGGGTGTACAAGTTGTACAGCCCCAGGACACATAGACCAGGCACTGTGGGGACAACAGTATCACCGAGGGTGCCTCAGGGGACTCTGGGATGGTAGATGGCCCAGAGCAGATCTCTAGGACTGCAAAGGCCAGGCACGCACTTTCTACTCTGATGTGGCATCCTTCGGCAGCTGCCCAGGCCCTTTGTGGACAGGTGTTTCACTCCCGGTCCCAATCAGAGCTGGCAGTCTGGGCTCGTTAACCCTGGGCTTTATCACCCTCTTGACTAAATTTCTGCGTTGGAAACTGGCAGAGACCAGGTTTACAGAATGACCAAAGACTGTGCAGGACACCAGGGAGAGGGTCAGACAGGCTCTGTGTAAACATCAGTGCAGCCTCTCACCCATATGTTCTCCCACCTGTGTGCCCCGAGCAGCATGGTTGCCTGTACCCTCTTCGTGGGAGCCCACAATTAGGCAGCCAGTAAACTTGGCGACCGCCCCACGGTTTGCCTTTCTTCTTTCGCCCAAACCCACTCAAGGATGCTTTCCCTCATTTGCCCCATGACAGGGGATGTGGGGCTGGTCTCTAAATGTCTTCAGAGACAGAGGGCCAGCAAAGGAACCACGTAGCATGATGGTAAGGAGGCAGTGCCTTCATCAAACCTCGTCCCCGGACCAAATCACCCAGGATCCCCTGAGCAAGGGAGTGTCACCGGGTCAGTAGGAGGCATGGCACAGAGCTGTCACCACTGGGGGAGAGAGGGCACTGCCTTGTGTGACCCAGATGGCCTGCTGATGACTAGATACGGGATTCAGAGAAGCCTGCACTTCCCTGGCCACACCTGGTAACCAGGTCACCTGAGTACGTGTGCTGTGGACACTGCCAACAGTGGAGGCCCATGGCCAGGCAGCACTTCTCACAGACCTTCTGTTTTCCAGGGTCTTTGATCAGTGCCAGAACATGAGCATTATCCTAGAGAAGACTGACCAGCCTGGCAAATACACTGCCTGTGAGTCCCTATGAACCCCAATCACCCATGATACACTTGGGGCCACTGTGGCCATTCCAGGGAACCCTAGGGCCCGAGAACCTTTTCTTCCTTCTGGTGCTATTAATGCCCGCTCTTCATGACCGTGGGCGGCTTCTTACAGTTAGGAGCAGCTGACAGCAAACACGGTACCAGGTGTGCTGGATTTCTCCCGAGAAGGACCTGGACTGTCCAGAGCTGTCCCGCTGGCTTTGGCTGAGCCCCTGGTAGGAGTCAGGAACCTGTGTACTTGGCTGCCAGGGCTGTGGTGCCCAGGCTGCCAACTCAGATAAAGCTCATGTTCCAAACACCCCTGCCACTCTCAGGTTTGGGACATGCTCACCTCCCGTGTGTGGGTCTCAGGGAAATGGGGTCTGCTATGACTGAGGCTCTGGGCTGGTAGAGAACCTGGGTCAGGAAGCACAGGGCAGC